CAGAGCCATTCTACTTCTGCGGCTAAAATTATATTTTTACTTGGATTTTAAAAGTTTATTCTATTTTTGTTATTAAATATTTATTATTTTATCTGCATTTGTACTTGTAGTTTGTTTTCACATCTTATGGCCTTTTTTCTTGATTTTTTATTATTACATTGGAGAGGGGGGTTATACAATTTTAAAATTATTCTCATACTTCCAAAATGATTTTTTTTGTATCAGTGCAATTTTAGTTGGGTTTATAATAGAGTGATTTGTTGAAGCTAAAATTGTATGTATTTTGTTGAGATATAATGTTTTAATATCATTTTTATTTTACTAGGAATCATTAAAAACGTTTTAAATCTGACTTTTAGTGTCTGTGGAAAAAAATGTCAAGATGGAGATTGAAATCGTTTTCAATGCAATATTTAGTAAAACTAAAAGGAACAAGGAACTCCTGTTACCACCCAGTTTCAGTCGAATGTGCACAATATAGTCATTTTAGTAAGTATGTGTCTTCATTATGAAACCAGTACTAAATTTTGACAACTGTGAATATATTTCATACTTGGTGATATTTTATTTTTAAAAAGTAAATGAAGTTTTAGTATAATACTAGGCATCAGTATTTTTGTGAAAGAAAGTCATATAGAGTTCAGCAATTGACAAACATAAATATCATAATAGTAAAAAGTTACTGTATACTTCTGCTTTATCAAAATATTGAAGGTCAATATTAATTATTATCAAATAACAGTTTGTAACTTGTAAGCATCTCATTGAAGAACTTTTCACAAAGATTTTTTTTTTACATATTAAATCACTTTTTTAATTATTGTGGGAAATGTTATATATAACAAAGTACACATTAAGTTGATATAATGATTATGTTTTGTGCTGTATTACTATTCTTGATGTGCTAAGAAGCACTGTCATATGTTAAGGTTTAAAAAAAGTTATTAAATCAAATCTTATTACTCTGTAAAAGCAATGGATCATGTTTTACAGTTTCCAGTACATTACAGTTTCTATGAATTAATCATATTTAGACAACTTGAAATGTCATCTTTTAAGAGCATATAGATAAAATTAAAATATGTAAATAACTTGCAGAAAATAAGTTTTCACTCTTTCAAAACTATTGAAATGCTTTTTACCATAAAAAGATTTGAAGTAAAGATTTTATATTTTAGGCTCATTGCGTACATATAACATGACCAAAGACATGTAATAATGATAATCCATGCCATCACAACAATAGTTAATACAATAATATTTCTAATTAGGAAATATTCTTGTTTTGAGGAGAGGAAATCCATTATACACTTTAAATAAAGGACCAAAGATACAGCTTTTGAGTGGATTGTTTATTTTTACTTTTTTTTTTGTAACCAAGTTTCAAACACACCTTAGTAAACAATTAAAGAAAAATAAGAACTAAAATAGCAAACATGAGTGCCTCATCTATTGAAATTAAAGAAATGAATAAAGATCAACGAGATAAGAACACAGACAATGAAATTACAAAGACATTTCAAAGCAAGAATAACAGAATTTGGTTTCCTAAAATACCAAATGACAATTGTAACCTAATTGATTTAGTCCATGAAATATCGAGGAGAATTGAAGGTTATCTACTTAAAAAACCATAAAATGAAACAAAATGTCACCAACTGCTAAATATCAACCCTAAAAGAATCGTGAAATAATTCACAAATTATCATAGTAAAGGCTGACAAAGGGGGTAAAAACCATAATTATGGAAACAGAAGATTACAACAACTTATTTAAAAGACACCTAAATGATTCAACTAAATTCAAAGAAATATCCAAAAGCCATAATAAACATTATGGAAGACAATTGAATAGTATACTTTTAAAGTTAAAAAAAACAATGACTTCACAGAATACATGTACAACAGATTAAGAGTCACCAGTGCACATACCCCTTGTTTCTTTGGTGCTCCAAAGATTCACAAGAACCCAATTGACATCTACCCCATCCTTTCCACTTATGGCAGCTATAACAATGAGCTTGCGTGATTCCTAGATTTTCTGATCAAACTAATGCATGACAACAATAAATACAATCTTGACAATCATCACAAAATGTACAGTTTTGACCTAGTCTGTATGCATACAATGATACCAAAAAGATGAAGCAACAAACCTAGCTTTAGAAATGATATCAAAAAATTCTGACAAATTGCATTATAACTTAAGCTTGGAAATTTTGAAAGACTTGTTCCACTTTGCACTAAAAATATGTTTCACCTGTCAAGACAAAACTTCTGAACAGATAGATGGCCTAAGCATGGGCAGCCCTCTGTCACCTGGATTATGTGAATTGTTTATCAACAAAATAGAAAGTTAGGCCATTAACACAGCTCTACAACCTCCCACATACTGGTTTAGATACATTGATGATGTATTTGGTGGATTTCAAAACAACATCCATCAACAGTCATTTCTACAACACGTAAACAACGTTCACTCTAACATCAAATTCACTCATGAAGTAGAGAATGAAAACCACGTTTTAAATTACGTGAATATAACAATAGAAAGAAACTCCAACAGTTTTAACACGAAAATCTTCCATAAATCTGGTAATGATAACAACTATATAAAGTGGGACTCAGCTGACTTAACAAAAAATTGGCACGTTATCATGCATTTACAACACTGTATTTAACATATATAGTAGCAGTAATGTACAGCATGAACTAGAATGAATATCTGACACATTTATTAACAAATGTCACTTCCCTAAACATATTATCACTAGAACCTTAGCCAAGTATAAAAGCAAACTCAACAGAAGAAATGAAAGTGAAAACAATATAAACTCCACAAAGGAAACAACTTGCACAAACTTAGACACACTGATAGGTGTCTTACCATATCATGGCTATGCAACCAAAAACATAAACATTTGGAAACAAGCATCTTGGGGAACATGGCAGCCAATGTGTTAATATGTGATTAACATACACAGAATGAAACTTTACCTCATAAGAATATTGGATATTTGTGTATTTGTTTGATAACAGAATCTTAAAATTCTAAACAACAAAAGATTATATAGTCTTTTTTATTCTAATAGGTGGACAGTGCAAGAATTTAGCTCAAAAAAATTGGTCTTCATTTATAGTAGGCCTTAGTGGCTTTCATGGATATCAGTTTGGATCAAGCCATCTTCTATTTTCCAGAGGAATGTCTTTGAGTAATGTTCAAGATCATGTACAAAGCAAAGTTTCACCATTACAGGCTAAAAAAAGAGTAACAAGAAAAAAAATAAGTTTGACAGCTGAGGCAGACTCCACTCAGGTAACATAATGCCAGTTGTGTCAGTAAAAAGATTTATGTTCTCGCAATAGAATTATTTTGTTAGATGTTTTGATAGTCCAAAGAAAGCAGGATTTACCAAAGTAATTTTCAATAAAAATGTATAAATAAATTGAACATACTCTTTGAAGTAACATGAAGTACATGCAATATAAAAACATCAACTAAGATACTTATTTTTAACTATTTGTTACTGGACACTAGCATATTCTCTTTCGTGAAGATATAGTTGAGTGATCAAAACTTGTACGATCTTTAACTTTTTATATCATTGTCATAATGACTTAATGCTGTTGCAGTGACAGTAATAACAAAGGTTGGCACTCTCCTTGTTCATTTCTCTTTGCTACAGTTTCATCTATGTTATGAATCATACGTTAATTAGGTCTGTTCAATAAACTTTGATACAAATTAGTCAAGATCATAATTTAATTTGGTATACTTACAAAATGAATGTTTATCTGGTTATAGCTACTGAGTTGGTATGCACTTGAAATTGTGTGGCTACAGTGCTATCTACTATGATTATCTTACTTTTAATATAAAACTTTATTAACTAAATAATGTTATTTCTATGTTAATAATTTATAACAAGTCTTCATTTCGTGATCTTAAAGAAAATGTAAAGTAAAATACTGGATGTTCACTGGCTATTTTTGATGTTTTATTGTATGTTTTTGATATTTCCTGTAGCTCATAAATATAAAAAAAAAGCTTTTTTATATATACATTATAATGACCTTTTCTTGTTCAGTTTTAGATTGATGTAGTACTTAACTTACTCATATCCAAGCTATGTAATATAAGTATTTGAAAGCAATATAAAATGTACTTAGGGTATCTGATTTTCTGTTTCAACCCATAAACACTGCGGTACAGAAAGAAAAAGAAATCTGTATTTATTCTGTAAACACCACAAAAACACTCAACTTCACCCTTTTCCCAGTGCAGTAAGTTATGCAATATTCCTTATCTAGCATTGATTCATTCTGAATACTTAAAATGTACTTCAACTATTGAAGGGTAGCAACAGTGAAACTAATATGGAATTATTACTAATACTTATAATAAGTTATGTGATACAAATTAAAGTAAATCTTGTGCAGAGAAGAATTTTGAGAAAAAACTGAAAAAAATAATCTCATACAATATGTAAAAAACAAAAGCTCTGAAATAAACTGATTTTAGACAATTCACATAAAACTCAACGAAAAAATAAACACCTAAAAATTAAATTAATAAAAATAAACCATAAATATATTGTGAAAAGTAGTTCAGTGTAGTAACTTCTTATGGAAAATATGTTAAGAGAGTACAAAAAAATAAATTGTTATACATGCTTGTATATATTTATCTACTGTATACCATTGACACGCACACACACGCTGTATTATAATATGAAGTTTCAATGGTCAGGATCATTCCAATTTTCGTTAGAAAAATTGTTGGATAAAATTTGGGATTTCTGTAACTGCTGAATACTAAGCAGTAAAAATATAGCTGGAGAGCTTGTCTGGGCTTAAAACATTGTGAATCATTATCACCTACATGTTTGATTTGTTGAAATCATAAATCATCCTTTTAAATGCTCATCACTGTCACAGAAAATGATTGTTGATAATAGTAGTTACTGTGCAAAATCTTGACAGAATAAATGTTGGTTAAATTATATGCACTTCACCAGTTTTTAATTGATAACATCAAAGAATAATTTTACTTCACAAGCTAGTCTACAAAGAGGCTATCAAAGCTGGAATTATACTTCTGAATTTTATTTGCTTAGAGAAAAAAATGACCTGAGAAGTTATTTCTTTCTGATTTCAAAGCTATTTGGATTTTTTTTTTGTGAAACAACTTTAGTGTTGAATTAAATTGAGTTTTTGTTCATTTGGTAAGGAAAAGATGCTGAACTTTCAGTAAGGGATGTGAAGGAAACCAGTATATTAGAATGGTAGTTAATTCAAATGGAAAATCCTATACCAGTGGTGAGCAATCTATGACCCACGGGTCACCAAGAGACCTGCAGCAATCATTTGGCTGACCCGCCAAATGTTAGCGTCACCTTTGCAACCCGTGAAGGCACAATCATCGCTCAGTGCAACTTTCTTGGCTATGTGAGAAGAACAAAGATATTAAAGGAAAGAGGGGGAAAAAGTCATGGCTACAGAGAATTTTAAGATCAATTTTAGGGGAAAATATTCAAGTGGTCAAACTATCGTGATAAAACTTTTGACAATAATGCTTCATGTGTACTGTGCTGTCATTAGCTGAGAGATTCCTTGCTTGTCTGGCAGAAAGTGCTGTGTATGATATATTTTGGTGTTTTTATAGGTTTTGAGGTGAGTATATGGTAAATTATTTATATTTACAGGTAAATGAGAGTCTCGGGCTATATATGTAAGTGACGGTAGTGTTTTATTTGTGACAACAGAACAGACTTGTGGGCTAGATAAATTGCTTCATTTGTTTCTCATTTCCATCATGGCTGCAGGATGCCAGACTGAATGACGTGTGCATCGCTACTTGTTTGTCTGAGACTGAACAATGTGTAAAAATGTACTGAGGAAGTCATTAACTTATGTGTTGCAAAATCAATCAAGATTGTTTATTTTTTGTTGTTCAATGTATTTCGTTACTGAATCATCTTGTTTGTTTTTTGAAAATAATTAATTTCGTTTATTTTATGTAAATAAACATACACATTTTAATACATGTAACAGTATTTAGAATTATATGACTATCAATGATCCAATACAATGCTAAATTTAAAAAATGCATATATAATTGACCCGCTATCAAAAAAGGTTGCTGACCACTGTCGTATACCATACCTTTTAGTTATTCTCCTGGATATTTGCCAAGATACAGATCATGTTATTTTCACTGTTTCTACACTGTATCCTTTTCTTTAATGATTATTATTTCC